AAAATTGCCTGATGCAGGCGGCAAAGCCCAGCATCACAAGCAAGAAGTGAGTTTTCACTTCAGCCGTAATACAGGGGAAAAGATTTGCCTGACCTTGCTGGATGTTCATCATCTGTCTTGAACTTTGGCTGTGATTTTCAAGCCAGGGTGTCTCCAGCTGAGCTCTAGGTCTGTCACTAGGGTCTTCATAGAAAATAAGCTACAGGAAGGAAAAAATCATTGGCATAGAATGATAGTAGGTATTTCAAAACTATCTTTTGAAGGCCGCTGCAAGGCGAGACTTGCTGTTGAACCAGACAGCGAGTGTGCGAGTGAGCCAGGACCCTGCATACTCGAGCACTTGCCGTGGCTTAATAGGGTTTTGCGGGCGCGCGGCAGCGTCACGCGCGGCGGTGCCGGGGCAGGCCGTGCAGGGCAGCCGGCCAGCTGCCGCCCCTCGGCCCTCGTGCGGCCTGCGGCGCTCCAAGGAGCACATAAATAATGCCTAGAAAGTCACTTTTGTGCAAAAACATACACAGGAATATTTATTCGGTGGTTTATTTATGGTGACGGTATCAACTGTTATTAAAACTGTATCCAAGTGGATTAAGGGTACTCGCTTATGGGAGCAAATGATCCAAAAAAAGGGTTTTAGAAAAGTAACCCTGAGCTTTCATTTATCTAAATAACAACTCGTGTGTCAGTTGCTGTTTGTTTTAAAGACTCTGTTCCTGGTGTCCCGTGATAATACATCTACATCGCTGTTCATTTGGGAAGAAAAAGGCTGTGTGTTTCGTGATTGGGAGTGAAAAATGAAAAATTTGCCCTAGCCATAGCCTAAAAAAAGTTGAGATGAAGGGAAAGCAACATTTATTTTTTAATTACATGGCTTTTCAGTCCCTGTAATTATTTTGCAGGCCTCTCATTAGTGAATACTGAACACTTGAGATGGCAATTGCCGTGCCTGAAGCTCTAGGTACTGTGTTGGTGGATGCACCTTTATTGCCAGCCTGCTCCAAAGCCCAAATCTTGGCTTCCTGCTTGGCAAGCAGATTCAAAATCAGAAGCAAGCAGAGACTTCCTTCCTTTTCCCTCCTCCATATTTTTCTGCAGTGTTGGTGTCACATTTGACAACCACCACTAAATAACCTTCATGAATGTATCAGCTACCAGGGCTTAGTAATAAGGGGAAAATCAGGCAAGCCAGAGCAGGACGTGACCGCTTTGGAATTAAAACCAAATTGCCCGCCTTATCAAAAATCGCCCGTGTCTGTCTGCTCTCCCACTGCGTGGTGCATTCGGGCCATTGATTAATGTGTCCCTGCTTGACATGCTTTAATAGAGGCTGCGAGGCCGGGGCGCTCGTGCGGAGCCCGGGATTCGGCTGGTGC